GAGGTCTTCTAATCCAGCCCCCTGCTTAGGCAGGAAACCCTATACCATTTCAGACAGGAAGGAAGGAAGGAGTTGGAAGGGACCTTGGAGGTCTTCTAGTCCAGCCCCCAGCTCAAGCAGGAGATCCTATGTCATTTCAGACAAATAGTTATCCAATCTCTTCTTAAAAACTTCCAATGTTGAAGCATTCACAGCCTCTGGAGGGATGTTGTTCCACCGATTAATTCTTCTCACTGTCAGGAAATTCCAGGTTGCTTCTCTCCTTGATTAGTTTCCACCCATTGCTTCTTGTCCTGCCATCAGGGGCTTTGGAGGACAGCTACACTCCCTCATCTTCGGGGCGGCCTCTGAGATACTGGAAGACTGCTATCATGTCTCCCCAGTCCTTCTTTTAATCTAGACTAGACAACGCACAACCCGAGTTGTGCAATTCTTCCAAAGGCTGCCAGAATGCAACATGGTGGCGCTTTAAAAAAACAAATAATGTTTTTGTGAAGATTTGAATGACCTCTTTGTGGGTTTTTCCTGGACAGGTGTTTGGGCCCACGGAGACTACTGCAAGATTAACCCCCAGACGGGTGGGATCGTCATGTTAGGCCGCAGGTGAGCTTGTTACTAAGAGGTGTGGTCACCCATTGGAAAAACGTCTGTCTGGATCCCGATTGGCTGAAGGAAGGATGAAAAGGATCAAGGGATCCGTTGTAGAGCAGAGACGGGAGTCCTTCTTTACCCGCAGAAAGTTCCAGGTTTAATTCCTGGCAATTTGGGGTTGGGGGGGGAAGTCCGATTTGCCATTTGGGACATTGTGGCCAGAGGAGATCTATCGATCCTTCTCTTTCTTTGATCAGCTTTCTGTTTTTGTAATGAAACTTGGAATATCTAGAGCCGTGATGGCGAACCTATGGCACACGTGCCACAGGTGGCACGCACAGCCATTTGTGCTGGCACGCAAGTGCAGGCAAACTTACCTCACTGTACATGTGCACTATGCCTCACAGCTGATTTTTGGCAGGTTTGAGGCCTTTTTCGGCCTCCCAAAGGCTTGAGGAAGGCTTCTGCAGGCTTCTGCAGGATTTGCAGGCCGAAAACTAGCCCTGTTTCGTCACTTCCTGTTTTTTCCAAAAATAGTGGAAGTGATGAAACAGGGCTAGTTTTCGGCCTGCAGAAACCTGCAGAAGCCTTCCTCAAGCCTTTGTGAGGCCGAAAAAGGCCTCAAATCAGCCAAAAATCAGCTGTGAGGCATAGTGCAGGTAAGGGGGCGGCGGTAGGTGAGTGGGTGGGTGGGGATTGCACCCACATGTGTCGGGGCATATGGGGCACGCATTGTCTTCTGGGTGCTGGCATACGAGTGCGAGCGTGCAAGCATGCACAATTTTTGGCACAGGAGCCCAAAAAGGTTAGCCACCACTGATCAAGAGAATATCTAGAGAAGGCTGCTAACTAGGAGCTTGCTTCTGGTGGAAACCTGTACAGGTAGTCTTCGACTTACAACAGTTTGTTTGAATTTACAATGGCATTGAAAAAAGGGACTTAGGATAAATTTTCACAGTTAACAACCCTATGGTCACCATTTATATCAAAATTCGGATGCTTGAAAACTGACTCATATTTGCAACGGTTTGCAGAGTCCCAGGGTCCTGCGATTACTTTTTGTGACCCGACAAATGGGGATGCCAGATTCACTTAACAAACGTGTTAACTAACCACTGCAGGGATTCGCTTAACCACGATGGCAAGAAAGGTCGTAAAATGGGGGCAAAACTCACTTAACAAATGCCTCACTTAACAAACCACACATTTTGGGCTCAGTTGTGGTCGGACGTCAAGGACTGCCTGTATAAACCAGAGGTCTAAGGGTGGTCAACCTGAATAAAATACAGGTACTCCTCGACTTACAAACGGCTGCTTAATGACCTTTTGGAGTTACGTAGACCTCAGAAAGGCTGCCTTGTGGCCCGTAAAGCAGGGGTCTCCAAGCTTGGCAACTTTAAGTCTGGAGGACTTCAACTCCCAGAATTCCCCAGCCAGTTTAAAGTTGCTAAGGTGTTGGAGCCTCCTGCCCTAAAGCCCTTCTGACCATCGTAAAATGTCACCTCCCCTGGTCACACGATCACGTTTTTGGCCCTCTGGCAAAAGGCTCACATTTATGACCAGTGGCAAAGTCCTGTGATGCCATGACTGGTTTGTGATATATTCTCCTCCCCCCCCTCCCCCCCCCCAGGATAATGGATTTGGACTTTGGCCCCAATTTTGGTCGTAAGTCAAAAGGCAATGAAATCTTTATATTGTGGGTTTGAGCTCCGAGCTTGGTGATTCGGTTGCAAACGTGTCCTCCCCATTCGAGGAGACGTTATCGGTCCAAAACAGTCCAAAATCAAACCATGTCTCAGAAATACCCAAAGAACATGCAAGCTAGTTTGCATCTCATAAAAAGGGATTGTCATGCCCTGTTGGAGTCTGAATCCAAGGAGAAAGACGAATAGCTGACAGGGAGTGGGAGCGTGGCTCCGTTGGCTGTGGAGGAAACTGGGGAAGGGCAAAGTCCAGCTGGGCAGAGCAGGGAAGAGGTAGAACAAGGGAGAGGGAGTTCAGAGGAAAACCCAGGCCCACCCCCTCTTCATCCTAGGGCATGCAGGGAGGAATGGAGAAGAAAGCAACTTGAGTTGTGTGGCTTACGGGGGAGGAAAGGGCCCTGATTCCCTTCATTAGCCAGCTGGGAATGAAAGTTTATAAAAACTGAATGCTGAGTGCGGCAGCTGCTGGGAGTAAACATGAGTTTATCTTGTGTTGACTTTGCTTATCTGTGTTCCCTGCCAGCCTGATTACCTTATTTTGCCTTGATTGGACTTATAGTTACAGTTTTTGTTAACCATGTTTTGGACTTGATTCTCTGCAGCCAAAGGCTGATCCTGGGAGAGTTTTTCTCCAGCCAGAAGGTAACCAGGACATTGGGAGCAAAATTGGAGCTCATAAAGTGACTCCTACTGATTATCTGACTGTGTTGCCTTTGTGCCACGCCTCTTTGGGTCACCACAGGGATTTAAAGGCCTGCGCTCTGACAGACGAGCACAACTCAAGCCGCACAAACGTCTCGAATGGGGACGACACGTTATGCAACCATATTGCTGAAGCTCGGAGCTCAAAACCGAGAATATAACTACCAACCCGAGCTACTGATATTCCAAAGACATTTCGATGAAATCCTTCCCTAAGGATTGGGGGCTTGGGGTGGGGGCACATTTAACCCGATGAGCATGTTGGCAAAGCAAGAAGGATGGTATCCAGCATTGCCATTTTGAGATGCTTTAATGATTTCTTTTCTGCTCATCTCTGTTTTTCCAGTGACGGCACGCTGAATCCGAGCGGAGTGCGGTTTGGCAGTTCGGAGATCTATAACATTGGTAAGCGGAATTTGATTTCTGTCAGCCCTTCAAGGTTAGGAAACAGGATTATTTATTTATATCAGGGGTCTTCCAACTTGGCAGCTTGAAGACTTATGGACTTCAACTCCCAGAATTCCTCCTCCAGTCATGTTAGGCCTTGGCTGAGGGTGCTGTGGGCATGGACTTAAAATAGCAATAGCACTTATAAACTGCTTCACAGTACTTTGCAGCCCTCTCTAAGCGGTTTACAGAGTCAGCCTCTTGCCCCCAATAATCTAGGTCCCCATTTTACCCACCTCGGAAGGTTGGAAGGCTGAGTCAACCTTGAGCCGGTCAAGATCGAACTGTTGGCAGTGGGCAGAGTTTGCCTGCTGCATTCTAACTACTGCACACCATAGAAGGAAAGGAAAGGAAAGGAAAGGAAAGGAAAGGAAAGGAAGGGAAGGGAAGGGAAGGGAAGGGAAGGGAAGGGAAGGGAAGGGAAGGGA